CTAAATAATGTAGCCTTCAATTCATTAACTATCGTCATTGATTATGTGCATTTTAGAATAATTTAATTGATATAACTCTAGTTGTAAGCCTTAGCACAATTTTCATTCTGCCGAGCATTATTGCTTTTCTTTAATATTATTTATTGATTAATTTAAGGTTGGTTTGTTATGATCAGTCAATCATAGCAGCTTTCTTTTAATTAAATCACTTTTTGAAGGACTATCGGTATTAGGGAACTACTGTTTCATTTTATCTTTTGAGTGTTTTTTTTTTCTTCTGAAAGAATCTCTGATTATTCTTAGTTTTCGATATCTTATTTAACAACTGTAGATGAATGATCTGTGTAATATCAATTTTAGTTATGATTATACTTGATACTTGACATGCTATTATTGGTTTGTCGCCAGTATACATACTTTTTACTATTTGCAGTTGATAACTTCCGATACATATTATAGAGATGTATAGATGATAGCTGTAAATCAAATTAATAATGAAAAGGATCGAAATTAATAAATATAAGGCTTAGTTAGAATGACTGAATTACTTGTTTCATACTATTGTTGAGCGGTATATAAACGAAAAAAAAAGGATTATTTACAGAAAAATTTAAAATCAATTCTGACTGCTTTATTCAGTTTGTAAATTTGGATATATACATTCATCGAGAAAAATAGATTGCAACATTCATTTATTATTCTAATATTCATATATCTAAACGTTATGGTCTAAATTCAAATTAGTTTAATCAAAATTCGAATTCTAACTTTAATATGATCAAGTTATAAGAACTTTTTTAAAGAATCGAAGAACTTCAAAAAAAAGACCAATAGTTCGAGCATGAAAGAGATTTGGCACGATGAAGAGTCTTAAATGAAGGCAAGAAGCTCTGAATGGAAGTAAGAAAGATAATAGGATTTTACTTCGTTTTTCTACTCTTATTTTAGATAGACTTCACTCTTAACTCCTCACTATATGCATTCAGACGGACATTAGGTGAAAAATTCAAAATGTACTTTTCGATAATTTAAATAAGCACAACATATACGGTCTCATTTATGGATTATTTAATGACATAAAAGTCTTTATTGCTCTTGTTACCACTAGCTAGAAAACAGACTGAAAACTTAGTCATAAAACGCAGCTACTAAGAACTAAACATAATATGAAATAGTGTTTTTTCATTCTATCGTTTCTTTAAAAACCTTTGAGTTTTATCTGTTTCAATTCGAAAAATCTCATTTATCTTTAACATCAAGTACTGTTCTACGGAAATATGTCTTCAATGTAATGAGTTTGCACGGTTTTTTTTACAAGTCCGAATGTTCCTTCATTCATAACACCTGTATAGCGTTATCATTCCATAGTTAAACTATAAGTTTTCTAGAGAACTCTCGATTTTTAAGGTCAAGTTCATTTTTCTCAATATACAAAACACTTTTATCGGAAATTAACTTTATATTTGGAATCAGGATCACATGATGTATCATTTATTAGCTTTCTTATAAAAACTTTTTTTTGGATTCGACTTTTTCAGATTATATTGATAATCGAGACATAATAAAACGCTGTAGATCAGTAAATAAAATATTTCTAAAAAAACCACGTGTTCGTTTGCTGTATGAGAAAACACCCATTGTACTCCATTCATGCGCCTCATCAGAGAAATATATTAATCTCGTTCAAGTAGATTAAAAATGAAGTTGAACATTGCAATTTTGCATTATAACATATGATGAATAAAAGTCGTTTTTGAAATATTAATACTCTTATTGTCTAAAATTATTAGAAAATTTGATGACACTAAGTTAGCTAGATCTGAAAAATTCTTTTCTCTAACATAAAGATCTTGTCATTCCTACGTCCTAATTAGCCATGATCTATGAAATTTTACTTTGAAACAAAAAAAAGCACTCCTATTCTATTACATTTACTAGCGTCATCTACTTGAAAATCACGCGTTGTAGTTAATTTATTACTTTTCATAGATTGGTTCGTATGGCCAAAACCGATATTCTATCAATAGACAGACAAACAGGTAGACATAAGGATTAATTTTAACATCTCTTTTAGTTTTCATCATTGTTTAGTCAATAAAAGTGAGTAAGTCAATGAATAATCACTTAATTCAATTGCGTTTTATTTTCTAGTTTTGAAAATGATTCAATTTGTCATAGTTTAATATTAAAATGAAAGACGATATTGTCGAATCACAAATAGTAAAAATGAATAAAACATCCGAAAAGTCATCAGGTTAGAGAAAAAAAAACGAATTTCAAAGAAAAGAAAAAACAGATTTTATTATAATTATAAGATAATCAAGATAGACCTCCAATGATAGCTCAACTTGCTAGTTTACAAAGATTAAAAGAAGTAAATTAATATTTTTTTTTCAAAAAAAAAGAAAACAAACAAACAAATTTCATTGAAAATTTATTTTTTTATTTCATTAGGTTGGTTGGTATTGGGGTCCATTAAGTTGGATTGAAGCTGAACGATTACTTAAAGATAAACAAGATTATTCATTTATCGTTCGAGATAGTAGTCATCGACATTATTTTTTAGCAATAACATTTAAATCACAAGGCAATATACATCATACTCGAATTGAACATAGCAACAGTTTGTTTTTAATTTAATTGAAATTTTTATTTTATTTTGTTTGAATCAATATTTTTTTTTTTAGATTCATTTAGTTTTTATCATGGAAATTCAAAATCACAATGTACATCACCTGATATTGTAGAATTTATCGAAAATACAATTGAACATTCAAAATCGGGTCAATTTATGTTTTTTATTCGATCAAATATACCCGGTATATAGAATAAAGAAAATATCTATAAGCATACTAGTTTTAGAAAATAGTTCATCTAGATTAAGATGCAAAAAACAAAAAAAAGTTTGATCGAAATTTACTAGTTTCAAGTGTCAATATCAAATAGAAGATAAGAATTGATTGTTTAGGATGTTTGAATATTGTTGGAACAAGATTATAGCAGAAATTGAAAGAAATGTCAATATAAAATTTTATTGAAATAGATTTATCAAGTTTTCATATGTATAGAGGTATGAGTAACTTAGAAATTTCATTAGAGATAAAATGAATAATCAGACTTGACAATGGAACATGACCGAATGGTGAAATGTTTTTTTTTACTTGAGACTATTTCGATTGAATTGATCGTATCCAGTAATGAACAACTTGTTAGTAGTTTCATTCTTCAAATCTTTGCTTGTCATGTTATTTGATTTTGAATCTATGAGAATCTAAATAATCGGAAATTTTATTTATACATAGATGATATTATTACAAGAAACTTCACTAAGTTTCAGCTATAACAAATTCATCCTAATCAAGATATGAACGTATCATAAACATAACCTACGAAAAATTCGAATATTAACATTTGATTTCATTGTTAGAAAAAAAAAAAAAAAACTTTCTCATAAATTGAAAATTGTTTAACACTCACTGACAAGTTTTAAAACAATCGATTAAGAAATGATCGGAAAATTTTTAAATAAGATGTTTATTCAATTTTCATCCATAGGAAAGTATCAGAAGTTATGAATTAAGATACTCTGTTCATATATGAGCTTCGAAAATTTGTTTCAGTTTTTATCCAACAGTTGTGAAATAATCTTTGAAAAGTTCAAAAAACATAGTTTGAATGAAACTTGAAGATGGATAGTTGGTAAATATATTTGTTCTTTTATGTCTACTTGAAAACATTTCACACGAGTCGAAAACTATTGGTCGCGACCAAAATTTGATTAAGAACTTATAAATATTGTATCTATTTTTGTCAAAGATCGAATCGAAGCGAGTTTTTTATCGTTCAATCAGCCATATTTCCCCCTAACAAGCGGTACACGATAAGTTAGAATTTCGTTCTTGTATGATTAGAGTATCATACTAGAGTTGATATTGATGTAAATTAATACTATTTAATACACTTATGAATTAAAACATGTGTAAGTATCACCAGTTCTTTGTAGTGTTGATAAATAATCTTACACAGTTACAAATGATTATTTATTATAATACAGAAAAATGAAGAAATTTAAAAAGAGGATTAATAAAAGAATTATCTAGTATAGTGCTAATCTATTACGATAAACACAAACAGTGTACCACTTATGAAGTGAAAAATAAGTCTGTGCTCTATGGAAATTAAATAAAGGATGTAAAGCGATCGATCAAGGCTTGTTTCGTCTTCGTCTGTTGCATTACACTGTTATAAAAGCGATTATAATTCAATCAATAATTTTTTTCATTCGACGCTTGACATCGTTCATTTATGTTTTTGAAAATGAATTTCTGTTGATTAACTTTTTGAACGACCTGAGAAATTATTATTACAAGTGAATCAATAAGTGTTTATTAATCTGATAAGTCATTTTTCGAATATGTGAAAAATTGTCGAAGTTGATTATTTTGTACATGGAATATTTTTCTACGAAATTCGATATTGAATTAAACTGTAGTTTTTAGTTGGTTGGATGCTACAAGCCTTTTTTCGACGTAGAACAGTTCTGAATCTTTCAAATATGAGTATTTAGAACATAAAAAAAGATCGTAACGTTTAATTTAGAATTGTAATAGGTAAAATATAAAGATTCTTCAAACTTTCCCAAGGTTATTTCACTACTATCGAACAAAAAAATCAAACAAAATTTCTAAATTTATATCTTTCGACTCGTCAGATACATGTCAAAAGTGAACAAACATCTTCTCTAAAATCTTTCCAACCATCCATATATCTAAATTTTCATACTTGCACTCGGTCAGATTTTTTTCGACCAGATTGAATCGGAACATTGAAATAATCAACTTAATCGGTGAAAACTCAATATGCTTAATATATTAATAAAGTAATCAATTCTACAAAAATATACAATGCAAAATTTATATAAACCTTGAAATTTCGAATAGTAACAACTCTTCTTTTAGCCTGTCACGTTTCAGCTACTAACTCATAGTAACTTATATAGAATGACATTTATACTATGTTTTGACTGACTTTTTTCAACAATGATATGATATTTTTACAATTTATAAGTTTAATTTATTCTTATTCGAAATAATTATTGAACACAGCTGAAAAGTTTTCTATTTTAAAGTTTCTTAATATCCGAATATTTTCAGTAATTGCATGAGACTAGTATTTAGCAAGTTCTTGACAATAGAATGAAATTCTTTCTGATACTTTGACAAAAGCATAGACTAAAAACTACTAGTTATTGAGGCTTTATGAGAATCGATTAAAAATAGTTCAGAGAGGTACAGTTGAAATTTCAAAGTGAAATGTCTTTTGTTTAGACTTAAATTAACTCATCATATCTGATTAATTGCTTGTAAACATAATAAATTCATTCAGTATGATCCGAGGCTTTTATCCTATGATAAGAAAGTGTTTGCTCAATATTTAGAGCTGAAATTTTAATAACGACTAGAAATTTCTCAGTTAAACTTCCAAACTCACGTCTCTTGATCATTAAAACAACGAAAGCTTTAAAACTAGTAAAATATACCAACAGTGGTGCCCTCGATAATAAATATAAAAAAACCGATAAAAACCAGCCGATTTTAAGAGTTCAACTGAACTAGTGACCATTAGACTGCTCAGTTAGATACTAGTTTCAAGTATGATTTGACTATAATCAATTCTAATAAATAAAATTTGAATTTTTTTGTTTGTCTCCAGGTCAACCAATGACACCAGTCCGTCTTCTGTACCCAGTATCACGTTTTGCATATATGTCATCATTAAAACATATAGCCCGGTTTGTAATACATCGACATATAAGTCGAGATCGTATTGATGATCTTGATCTTCCACGACGATTAAAATCATTTTTAAAACAAGCTCAGATTTATACTGAAAATATTCCATCATCAGATGATACAACAGAGACTTGAAAATTTTGTTTTTCTTGTTTTTTTGTTTTGAATCTTTTAAAATAACCTTCTTCACTCAGTGCCTTATTTGATGGACAAAAAAAAACAGAAATCAAATAAAATGTAACAGTTTTTTGTTTTTCGATTGTGTGTGATTTATTCAGAAAATTTCATCATGTATTTTTTTTTTGGATAATGTGAATGTGAATATAATATAAATAAGAAAAATATGTTTTCTTTGAATTTACTGTCTTTTGTTTTTTATGCATTAAATTTTTTTTTGTCTTTCTGTTTAATTAACAAAAGAACAATGGATAAAACAGAAAAAATATTTATTATAATAAAAACAAAATTCATCAATAAATATGCATGTTATTGATTTACAAATGATATTTTTCGTAAACCATTTTGTTAAACAAATATATGGATTTCGTTTATAATTCCTTTACAATGGAATGAATTTATAGTTAGTGTTGTACTTGGAAATGATTAATTTTTAGAAGAATATATTTCACTTTGGGAAATAATTAATAGTTTTATAACAAATATTTTTCTTTTATTAATATTTATTACAAAACGATTTTTTCATGAAATTCAATATCAAAGTTGTTTAATATTTATTTTTGATCAATTAAAAGTTTAATACTTTCTTGAGAATTTTCTATTAGTCAAGGATAAATAAACACTATAAAAAATAGTTAAATATGATGAACAACTATTTTTATCGAATAAAACAATTGAACATTTGTATTGTAATAAAATTATTTATTAATATACGTTCCAGTACACGGCAACGATTTATATTTTGTTAGATGTTTGATGATTTTTTTTTTGTTTAATTTTTATTTGTTTATATAGAAAAGAAGAAACAGAATAATGTTATATAAATATGTATATATTTCTAGATAAGAACAATATAAAGAAAAAAAATAGTGTTCACTACAAATCTAAGTCGAAAAATGTTTGTCACTTTTGTGACAGGAAATAAGAATAAATTAGCCGAAGTTCAAGCGATATTGGCTGATGTTTTACCAAACTTAAGATCACAAAATCTTGATTGTAAGTATTCGATTAATGAGGGAATTTTTCTACTTTATAAATCACTTTTGAGTCAAGACCAGAACATGAACTCTTCTCAGAACATGTGAGTCTGCATAATACATACGGTCTCGACTTAAAAGCGTTTTATTATTTGGAGGATTTCTCTCGCAAGTAAAAGAAATAAGAGACGTATGTTTCTTTCATAGGAAATTTCGTTATGTATTGTAAGTTTTATAGTATGAAAAAGAAAGAAACACATATCTCTTGTTTTCACTATGTACTTCAAATATTATCAGCAATTGTATTTTATAAAACTTAGCAAGAATTCATTGTTAAGTGAAGATTACTGCTTGACTTCCTATCTAACCTATGATTAAGTTTCTATGAGATTAAAAAGGATCTAAAAGATTTCGAATTCACGACCATGTTTTAATGTTAAATATTTCTAATACCATTCATCCGATCTTTAAACAAAAGAAAAGAAAAGAAGCAATATATTATTTGATTATTAGTCTTATTTTATTGTGTAGATAGAAATATTTCGAGTAAAAAATTGAGTTCATGTAAAAACGATGGACACCTTGCAATACTGATTTCTGTTATTTTAATAGTACCTGAATATCAAGGTGAACCTGAAGATATAACAAAAGAAAAAGCAATCTTAGCTGCTCAACGTATAAATGGTCCTGTTTTGGTTGAAGATACATCTCTACACTTTAATGCTTTACATGGTCTTCCAGGTCCATATATTAAATGGTTTTTAGATAAGTTAGGTCATGATGGTTTGAATAAATTACTTGCTGGTTATGATGATAAAACAGCATATGCACAATGTGTATTTGCATTTTGTGCTGGACCATCTTATGAACCGATTACATTTACTGGTCGTTGTCCAGGACGTATTGTACCAGCACGTGGACCAAATACATTTGGATGGGATCCAGTATTTCAACCAGATACTGAACAAGGACAACCAGGTGATAAAACATTTGCTGAAATGGATAAAACAATAAAAAATCAAATTAGTCATCGAAGTCGATCGTTACAATTGGTTAAAGACTATTTTGATAAACATCCAGAATATCGTTCATAATGATGTTTGCATTTCATATTATATGAGAATACTTTTTTCTATTATATAAAGAAAAAATAAAAGATGTGCATGCATTCCATTCATGTAAAATTAATCGCATGATTCCTCATAATTGATATTGTCGTATCGAAGCTTCTTCAATTCAACTAAATATCAAATACTTATCAACTAATTGATAATATTAAAAATAATAGATATATATCAAACAGTCTGTTTTTTTGAATGTCGTATACGTTTCTAGGTCTATCGTGACGACACTAAGATATGTATCTGATGAAAGAGAGTTCTAAAATATTATGCTCTGGTTCAAATAGCATATAATGATATAATTAGAACAGCTCTCACAATATATCTTATTACCAAATGTTTTACAATCGTGGCTCTGAATCTCAGTATTCATTTTAGCATAAAATACAATATTAAAAATGAAGATCAATAAAGCATCACGTAAAAGCAAAACGAATACAGAATTGCAGCGAAAAAATGCGCTTAAATACAGAATGGTTAATTCAGATTTTGTTTTTCATCTAGTGCAGTCGAACTATGATATATATACTGAAAAGGATAGACCTACATGTTTGAATATAAAGGGTGTTCCATAATAACTGACGATAAATTGTTATTCATATTTTTCATACTTTTTCTTGACATAGAGGGCTGAAATTTTTATCACATATATATCTAATGAAGATCTTCTGTTTCTGAAAGTTTCAGGTCTCTAGCTACAACTACTGGTGAAATACATCAACAACATTCAAATATATAAATTTTTGAAATCGATTTTTCAATACTTTTTATTGTGAAAATGTTGCAGGATATTTCCATGAGTAGTTAACCAAAAAATCACAAACTGTTCAGAAAATTTTTTTTCGTATCAGAATTTGTAGAGCTTTTCCCGCTGCTCATTTTGGTAAAAAAACTTTTCCAATTTCATTGAGAAATGACGATGTTGTAGGCAAAATACTAAACACTTTAAAATAGGTTAAAGCGTAAGGAAGTCGATTCGTATATCTCAAAATGTGGCTATATTCTGGAGAAATGTGACTTAGTAGGTTTTGTAGAGGAAACCTTGCTCTACAAGATCCTATAGTCCGTTTCTGAAATATAAGCAAATAGGATGAATAATTCTCGATTGAACATTGTATGCGATATTTCTATGAAAAAAATCTGACATCTTCTATTTTTTGCGATAAATATTTTGACTATAACATCGTCATTTCTCAATGAAATTCGAAACATGTTTTTACCAAAATGATCAGCAGAAAAAGCTCTACAAATTCTGATATGAAAGAAAATTTTCTGAATACTTTGTGAGTTTTTGGTTAGCTACCTTTGTAACTGCCCCGCTAGGTCGATTACGAAAATTCATGTATTCAAATGTTGTCGATGTATTTCACCAGTAGTTATAGCTAGAGACCTGAAACTTTCAGAAACAGAAGATCTTCATTAGATATATATGTGATAAAAATTTCAGTCCTCTATGTCAAGAAAAAGTATGAAAAATATGAATAACAATTTATCGTCAGTTATTATGGAACACCCTTTATATAATAAATTTAATAAAACAAATCCTTGCAACATCGTGTCGATCGCGTTCTAAGCTAGGATCAGCTGTATTAGTATAAGTTATATTGAACTAAATCGTACTATTCAAAAATCCAGTTCAGTTATGTCTTTGTTTGTCTTAGTATGAGTTTGACGCTGGTAAGCATTTAAATTATCTGTATATGTAGTATTTTTCCTGTTGACATGAAGTTAAAATTCTATTCAAATCCGAGCATAATAGTATTTTAAAAATCCCTATCATGAGTTACAGACCTTAGTGTCGTCAAAATAGATCTAGAATCCTATACAATATTGGCATGAAATAATAGTTGATCTTTCCGAACAATTTCTTTTATAGTTTTTTCGTAAAAAATAAAAAACAAATTACATGTATATGTTTTATTTTTGAAATCATCAATGAATTGATAGTTATTGGATATTTAGTGGAAATGAAGTGGCTTCGATACGACATAAATGAAAAGAAGCAGCTTTATCAAAAGTATATAACAAGTATGAGAATTTTAGTTTGAAAATTATGAGAAATATCATGATATAAATGACATAGAAATGAAAAAAAAGCATAGGGCATCATTCTATATAAAGTCATAATCAATCTATTTTTTCTGCAGTCAGAATTAAAACATTTTGTTTTTAATATACATAAAATAATCTTTCATCGCATATCTTTTCTCTTTTTAATTAGTTTTTTATTTATCATTATGTATACGATTATCGAAAAAATGTGAATGTTCACATGTAAAACCTATTATTTCCGAATCAAGAATTGTTGACGCTTATACAACTCGAAATCATTCATGACCATGAATTGGTACATATCAATATTTAATTATTTATTAGATATCTGTGTTAAACAAAATAGTAGGTCTTCGCCTATGAAAGCTAGTGAATCATCAACAAATGAGAGTTCTTTTTTTATTATGAAACTTTAAGTAATAGAAAATATGTATTAAAAACTGCTCATTGTTTTCATATGATTATATCATCACAAATTTCAAATTACATTGTCGTTGGTGGTGCTTAATAAAAAAAATATATAGAAGCTCAATTCATTTTACAATTAAATCTGTTATTTTACATGATAAAGTTAAAGATAAATCCTATGAAAATCAAATTGCCCTATTAGAATTAAAAAATATTGCTGAGGGTGTGGGTGTGGGTGTGGGTGTGAGTGCGCTAATTGACATTTAGAACAATGTTAACATTTTCTAAAGCTGATACCTCTGATTTTCTAAGCTCTTTTGTGCTCATACGGTCACCTTATATGACACATAAGTACAACTATATGTAAGGAATATCTCAGCTTGTTTCAATTTATCTCGACTGAGATAGTGATTTGTTTTTATAAAGTTGTTCTTGTAGCTGTAGCATTAAAAACGTTCGATTTTCTCAAAAACAAGTTATAGGCACGAACTCTTTGTATGGTAAGCATAACTCATTAAGATCTACAAGATGCATAAAGTTCTGGCTCAAAATCGCTGTGGCACTTGGCAGTATTCCCTCATCATTGTATCCTGAAAGTTTCAGCCAAAATTGATTCAGAAAACTAGAAATGTACTCACACTCTCTTTGATATGTTACGGTCTTTTTGTTGAAGTCGACGTTGACATTTGAAACCAGGTTTGCTCAAGATTTTTTCTATCAATATAAACTATGAAGGCTTTGTTATCATTGGTGAAGATATCAGCTAATTTGATCACAATTTGATGAAGATATTCATTCTTTTCCTCTGCATAGTAACTTTTAGGTTACCGTGTAGTAACAAAAATAAAAGATCGTTTTTGTGAAGTATTTGTATTCTCTGAACAATTAGTTGCTATTTATGATTAACAAATCATATGATGGGATGATATCTGTACTTTCTCACTATATACCAATTGTGAAAAAACAAACACATGGTAACAATTCTAATAACGTAAAGCTAAGGTGAAAATCAGTGGGCGTGCACTGTATTTGCTGATTATAATGACAAAATATCGTATGCACAATTTGTATCTGCATTTTGTGGTGAACCATCTTATCAACCAATTACATTTACTAGTCGTTGTCCAGGACATATTGTACCAGTACGTTGGTCAAAAATATTTGGATGGAGTAAAATTTTTCAACTAGATACTGAACAAGGAAAACCAGATAATAAAGCCATCGCCGAAATGCATCAAATAATAAAACAACATAATTGGTACTTGCAGTCGATGATTGGAATAAATTAAAGATGACGTTAATAAACATCTAGAATATCCTTCATATTTATGTTTGCATTTGATTTTCGTAAGAGAATATTTTTTCTTTTTATCAGAACAAAAAATAAAAGACTAGTATATATTCAGTTCATGTCAAACGATCATACGACTCATCATAATGGGCATAAGGAAAGAAGCAGCAATAGTAAAAGAATATAACGAGTATGAGAGTTTTGATTATAAAACAAGAAGAAATATCGAGATATAATAATATACAAATGACTCAAAAAAAAAATAGAGCACTTGACATCATTCAATATAAAGTTACAACCAGTCCATCATTGATATAGTCAGACTTACAATATAAAAATAATAAAAATTTAATTCGTTTTACAATTAAATCTATTATTTCACATGATAAAGTTAATGATGAAAGTTGTGAAAGTAATACTGTTCTGTTAGAATTAAGAAATAAACTTGATTTCGATCATTCAAATATTGGATTTATTCAATTATCAACAAATAATATGTCAATATATCTATATGAACCAATGAATAGTACTGAAATAGTTTGGAGATATCTACAACAAGATGGCTTATTATCTTATACTCTTCATCAAGTATAATTATCTATTATATGACATATAAATACATACTACCATAACGTTGTACAAAATAATATTATTCAAGTGTCTGAAGGTTTTATTCAAGGTTGTACAGATATACACAGAAAGGCGACAGGTAAAGAATAACTACGTTTAAATATTATTTTCAATGTCTAAAATATTATTATGGTGGATTTTTGATAGTTTATCATTCAAAAAATGATACATACTATATAGGAAAAGTAGCTTCATATGAATATGAATGTGCAATAACAGAATATCTTGATGTATGTATACTTGTCGGAGTATGTTTGTGAGTTGGATTAATACTCTTATAAATGATACAGATTCTGAATATCAAGTATCAATGAAATCAATATTTTATGCTATGTTATTATGATTTTTCTTGTGTATTAATTTGTCTTTCTATTTGAAATTGATTTTTTTTTTATTTATTTTCAGAATAAGCAAGCTTTTCTCTTTTGTTTCTAAGTATATAAACTAAGAATGGTTATATTATTAAACGAAATATGTTCAATTAATGATAATACAAGAAATACGAGTGAGTTTATCATTTTTCTACGTTTATTCAAAAAGGAGACGTATAAACTTTTGATGTGTTCAATAAACCATTTTCAAACACAAAAGAAAAGGAGCTCAAACTATGTAGAAACATTCTTTTGTTCTTTTCTATTCGTAGACTGACATTGGCAAACACTACTATGCGATAATAATATACTTTCCTCCTCCATTGTATTGCAATGTTAGTCATATTACTATAGGAAGAAAAAAAGAACAGCGAAAGTATTTATACACAACTGTAACTTTTTTTTTTTCGTATTTGAAAATGGTTTATTGAACACATCGAAAGTTTATATGTTATCTCTTTGAATAAAAGTAGAAGAATAATAAATATACTCGAATTACTAGTGCTATCAAAAAAAAATATCGATATGTTGAATGAAGTTTATTTTCGATTGTATGATTGTTTTTGTGTTGTTTTGAATAGATCAATTAGTCATGATGATCATGAAATCCACCTAGATTAAACATATGAATATATGTCTAGTATGTAATTTAATGAATGGTATTTCTTTATCAGGTTTGTTATTATCTTCTAAAGTTTGATTATCATAAGAACCTTGTCTATGATATTCACCTTCTTGATGATTTTATTCGATAGTAGGATTTATCGAATCGTCATGTCCTTCATTATCAGTATTGTTTGATAGTTTAGATTATTGTTATAGAGCTTGAATATCATTGAGCCCATTCATGTTGAAAAAGACAACAATGACAAAGACAAAGTAAGAGCAAAATCAGCTAAGAAAAGAAAAAAATACACTAACCAAGGATAAAGCAATTATGTTGATCGCATATCCATTTATGTTATCGAATGATATTTCTCTGTCCAATTTACATATTCACATAAATTTTTTTATTATTGTGTTTCTGTTTACTTATCTTTACAATGTTGTGTTGCCTTGAATAAACATTTTCTCTAATATTATTATTAATATTTGGATCATAAATCATTTTTCTATACAAATAAAATTACATGCTGCATCATGATTATGGACATAGAACATGCCTAGTCAAAAAACGAAGCCCATAAAATATCAAAGCTAGTCACTAGTATTTTTTGCCAAAATCATACAATCATATGTTAACGGAAAGAGTATGTTGATATCAACAGTTTAGCATTAAGTTCATGAGTTTTCAATCGAATTTGGAAACCTAAAAACTATAAACAATGTAATGCATTTTTAGTCATTATTATTATGATTTATTTTATCACTGTGGATTCAATCTGAGAATAAATTTACAAAACAAAATACCACTGAACTTATGAATTTTAAAGCTCTTATGTTCGATGCACTAGTAGATCCTGTTGTCATATTGACTGTATTTATCAAACGCCCTTATCTTTGTAGAAATATTTTACTTCAAAAATTGAAATAATCGAAGTTCTGCAGTTATTCTTTGCATAACCCTTCAAAAAGATGCAAAATGATGTATTTTTCAAAGTTAAAAAACATTCGGTTACCTGAAAAATTCCTTAGTACACTATTCTTCAAGCTCAGTTTTGTATCTTTTTGCTCAACACCTACAAAATTCTGATCCAAAAAGTTCACTTCGAGTCAAAAATATTATGACAATAGAAATCTACATTAAAAACTCAGTTGATCTGTATGTGGTTTAAAGAATTTCAAGAATGTTTTTTTTGTTGGAAAGTTTAATTCTGATCTCTGTTTGCGACTAAACGAAAAATAAACTGCATCAAACCATAATCTAAACACCATAAAGAAACTATGAAAATTATCGAAAAATATTAAATAAAAAAATGGTAGAAATATGCTAATAGTGTTTGCCAGCACATTGCAAGTGTACATCATGAAATCAAACCATCAGCTGATAACTTATAAAGTTCAGTTTGGAATCAAGTTAAGGTTAGAATAACATTTCTTTGTAATTTTGCTAATGGACACATTATTCACCTATAAACATAGAAACATTGTTTATGCAGTGAGTTAATATTTGTTTTGTTTTTGTACAATGAGTATTAATTTTCCTTATAATTGTTCGTTTTTATAATGGGAACATGGAGACATTGAATGATTTATGAATTTTGAACAACTAAGAAATAGAATTTTTTTCAATCGATTTATAGAAAAAAAAAGATTCCCATTCATAATTCTCAAACAAATAATAGAATAGTAAAAACTGAAATTCCATATAGATATTTTATACTTTTTAAAAACAATTGCATCGAACGTATAATCAGCAAGGGCGAAGTGAGGAAGATTTATAAAAGTAAACTTGTCTTATATCAGATGTATGCTTTATGATTACGATGTGAGAGCATAGTCAATGATTATTAATATTCATGAAATTAAAAGTTAATTTTTTTTCTATAAATAGTAATATTGATGGTATATAATACATAATGGTTCTTACAGAAAAAAATGTACGATTAAGTGAATGTGACTGAATCGCTTAATTTCAAAAAGTAAAATACATAAATATTTACAAAAACGATGCAATAATTCTAAATGAAGTAATTATTTTAATAATAGCAAAACTTGAATACAACAAAGGAAACATGAATTACTATATAATGCATATAATCAAAGAATAGAACATTCAAAAAACTGTAATACACACAACAAAAAATCGTCGATTTTTTTATTAGTAATAGGGCACATTTAGAAAAAATTTCTTTTTTACTATTGTGTTTAATGTGAGCTTTTTCTGTAAACTATTATCCAAATTAATTATTTCACATTTTTCTATGAAGCTTTATTACTATTAGAAAATCTTCTTCTCTTTCTAAGGAAATTATTTTAGAATTATTTCGTACTTTCCAAACTGAACTGAATTCTCATATCAACTGTGACATGCATGTGGGATTGAAGATGCATCAAACAGCCATAAACTTTATAATTTCAGTAGTATTTTATTGTCTATCTGTTCTTTGATTGAATCCACAATGAAAAGATGAGTTATTAAAATAATGACTGAAGATACGTTACCTTGTTTATAGTGTTTAGAATTCAAATTCGATTGAAACCTCATAAAACTTGTACCAATATGTTGGTGTCAACGTATAATATCCGTTGATATATGACTCTATGAAATTGACCTTAAAAAAATAGGAGTATATCGATTTAACGGCACATTTGTCCTTGTCCTTGATTAATGAATGTTTTGCTTTAAGAGCAATAGCTCGACATGTCGCTTTGTTCGTATAGAAAAAAATCCATGACTAGTTACGCTCCAAAGATTACCAATAACATTAGCAAGCCTGTCAGATTCACATACCAACACAAAACTAAAAATGAGTAGGCATAAAATTACCAGCTAACAACGTATATAAATACGCAGATTCGACAAGCAAATATCATTCGATTACATATACAAACATGCGATCGACATTAATTTTTTTATCATTGGTTAGTATATTATTTGTTTTCCTTCTTTTCTTTTTTTTATCTAATTGTGCTTTTAGTTTCTCTTGGTCATTGTTGCTTTCTCTGTATCTCATGGGTTCAATCATCATCGAATATCAGAAAAAAACCCAAAACGGCGACACCATCATCGTCATTGGAAACATCATCATCATTGTAAACATCATCATTGGATGAAGCACAGACATCATCACAGACATGATGAAGATGACAGTTGTGAAGAAGAACCCAGTGGCCAACGTGGTCCAGGTAGCCGAGACAGGCTCGGTAGACACGGTGGCCCAGGTGGACAAGGCGGACCTGGTAGACAAGGTGGTCCAGGTGGACAAGGCAGACCCGGTGGGCAAGGTGGCCCAGGCGGTCAAGGCAGACCCGGTGGACAAGGCGGCCCTGGTGGACAAGGTAGTCCGGGCGGTCAAGGCAGACCTGGTGGCCCAGGTGGCCAAGGTAGTCCAGGCAGACCAGGTGGACAAGGTGGCCCAGGTAGCCCAGGCGGTCAAGGCAAACCCGGTTGGCAAGGCGGCCCAGGTGGACAAGGTAGTCCAGGCAGACCCGGTGGGCAAGGTGGTCCAGGTGGACAAGGTAGTCCAGGTGGTCAAGGCACACCCGGTGGACAAGGCGGTCCAGGTGGTCAAGGCAGACCCGGTGGACAAGGCGGACCAGGTGGTCAACGCAGACCCGCTGGCCGAGGCAGACCTCCTGGCCGAGGCAGACCTCCTGGTCGAGGCAGACCTCCTGGTAGAGGCAGACCTCCTGGCCGAGGCAGACCCCCTGGCCGAGGCAGACAACATGGTCGAGGCAGACACCATGGCCATGGCAGACACCCTGGCCATGGCAGGTTCGGTGCCAACAACCAACAAGCAGGAAATAGTGTTGGAGGCGGTAAATAATCCTGTAAGTGAATATTATTCGTCAAATATTATACACACATTTCTATGTTGAATCTAGGTGGATCTGGTACTGGTGATAACTAATTGATCACGTAAAGAAAAGGCTCAATGATCCAATTGGAAATAGACTATAATTGCGATATCGACATATTTTTCACTTATGTAATTAAAAAATAATAGACGGAGTTTTCTGCTTTTGAAATAAACACAAAAATGTTATCTTCAGATAAAAAGACAAAGTTGTACAACATTAGATTAATACCTATATAGAGGATATCGGTTTCATTGATGGTAGGCATTCAGAAATGGTTATCAGTTGTCTGAGTATTAGTCTAATTCAGAAACAGACTCACACACATACATATACAAAGATATTCTGCTACCGTACATCCAGGATCATATGAAGTTATTGTTGGAATATTTCATGTATCGCTCTCTGAATCATAAATCATCACAAGTTTACAACTAGAGTATTTCAGAAATAAAAAATGATGTTCACAATTATTTATTCTTTACCTATTCCTTTGATCTGTATCTTTACCAGCTCGGATTAAACCTTCAAGAATTTTAATAATATTATCATATACAACGTTATGAAAGTATTCATTCCTATGTAATATAGTAGGTATTTGTATTTTTTAAAGGGTGAGGAATGATAAAACCATCGTATCCTGAAACGTTACCAACCTATTGCGGTACCATTCATTGGTTCGTGTGGATATATTGTAATATTCTTTTGGTTGAAAATAAAGAAACGCAATGTTTGAATCATTGAAGTCAAAATGGATTGTTAATTCTAATAAAACAATATAATTTTCATAGGTTTGATCATGAAACTCACCACGTAAAATAATAGATATAATTGTATATCGGTTTGACTTTCTATCATTTTTATATTGAATACAAGCAACAAAAATATAATTTGAAATTCATGTTGATTTTATACTATGAAAGCAATGAGCAGCCGCTATTGCATATTTAGTATCAATGGAAGTTCCACCATAAAAAAGAGAAACCGCATTTATTGATGATTCACTAGCTTTTGATTGACGAAGGCTTATATTTTATTTAATACAGATTTATCATGGATAACTAAAAATTGGCATTTGCCAATTTATGGCCATGAATGATTTACAGCTGTATAATCACCAAATATTGTTGACTGGTAAAGAATAGGTTGCACATGTGAACATCTACATTGTTCCGATGACATTCCACATATTGATAAATATAAATGAATTAGTTAGGGCATACCAAAAGTAGTGATGAAGCTATATTAATTCCTTATAGAATGCTAGAAGAAATTTTGTTTTTATATAGGCTGATAACACAAACAAAGCTCTACATTTCTACATTATTTGATCATTATTCATCTCATATCATAATAATAAAATCTCCATTACACTTCTTTAACTATGATATGTAACGTTAACATTAGTCCTTATTGTCTTCGATGTGTATTCTCGTCTTAATTTTCTCTTTGTTCTTCTCTTCTGTTTTCTTTATTCTTTTTTTCTCTCGTTGAATGTATAACCGTTTGTATATATACAAAAATATACAAAAAGTAGTGGCGATAGAACAAAAAAGTCATATAGAAACCAGCTCAAACAAGCTTTTGATAAAATGTTCGAAATAATTACCTTTGTTATCTACACACTATTGCAGTCGTTGAATCCATTTATGGAATGTTTTTATACTTTTATTTATTCAAAGAGTTCATGAAACTCTCATCTTTACCTTTATCCTCAAGAACACAGAGAAGATCAAGACGAGAATATACATCGAAGACAATAAGGACTAATGTTAACGTTACATATCATAGTTGAAGAAGTGTAATGGAGATTTTATTATTATGATATGAGATGAATAATGATTAAATGGTGTAGAAATGTAGAGGTTTGTTTTTACTATCAGTCTATGCAGAAAGGGAATTTCTTCGAGCCTTCCAAAAGAAATTGATACAGCTTCGTCACTACTTTTGACATACTCGGAGTAAAAAGGCAAATATATAAAAATAGACTGCCACTCGAGCTTCGTTCTAGTACAAAAAAGGCGACTGACTGCAGCAAGTGCAGCGCTGGACTCATTGCTTTTCGTCCACTAATGAGGGAACCTTCCCAGGTACTCCTCTCGGATTTCAGTGAATTTTTGTCCACAGATACTAGATAGTGCCCTGATAGAAGCGCTGAAAGAATATGAGTGCATGGCGGTTCCTTCAAAATTAATATTTGTTTTTATTTTGCCCCTATAAGGCAAAATATACAATACATAAGAAAGGATTTCTGACAGGAACTACCACGTAGGCCGCCGCTAAAATTTTGATCTTCGATTTAATTATCCGAAACAGTAGACTATCATTAGAATGCTTCAAATCCAAAATATTAGCTCTTTCTAACTGTTGCACTTAAATCCCTTCAGAGTTTTTATTAGGGCACTCTGTAGTATCTATGGGCAAAAATTCATTGAAATCCAAGGTGGACATCCGAGAAGATTTCCTCGTAAGCCACCATGCACAAAATCTCTCTAGATCTGTAAGACACTACCATAGAAGTTTTCAGTCACAAAAAAACATACTTAAAATATATATTCATTAGACATGTAAGATATTAATAGTCGCCTCAAGATTGAATTATGCACTGCCACATAATAAAATTATCAGCTAGTAATTATCGTTTTTCTGCATATGTATTTCAATTGTTTAGCCATTATTGGAAAAATTTTTGCAAAATGTTTGAATCCGTGGTGGACGATTTTAAGTCGCACAAGGTGATAATTAAAATATGTAAGCTTTGGACATCTTAGATATGAATGGTCATCTAAGATTGAATCGTGCATCACCATAAAAGGGAAAGATCATCTGTTAATAATTTTTTTCGGATTTTTGATACGAAACGATACTCAGGTGCTGAGAACGAGTGGCTGATTTGAATCATGACTCATGCATTGAGAAGAAAAGGAAGAAGAGATTTTGCCCTGACTACTATGTGAGTGAAAAGCAATAAGACGACTGACTGCGGTGGTGCAGCCAGTCGACTTACTGAAACAGTCTTTTATTTATATAACACACGGACTGTTTCAAGTCTGACTGTATACATGATGGATTGATTACGACTTTATGTATAGTGATGTCACATGTTTATTCTTCTTTCTCTTATCATTTCTATATTATTTATATTGTGATATCTCTCATTATTTTCAAAGCGAAATTCCTACACTTGTTGTATTCTTTTAGTACAACTATTTCTTCGCTTAAATCATTTACAATGGATCATATGATCGTTTAACATAAATAGAATATGTGATCATCTTTGTTTTGCTTCGATAAAAAACAGAGTATTCTTCTAAGAAAAGAAAATCAAGGAAAAACAAACTGATTTCGTGATTTCCATGATTTTGAGTGATTTCATATATTTTCATGGGATATCGAGTGATTTCAAGAGATTTCTTATGATCTCAGATGATTTCCTTGGTTTCTGGTAATTTCAAATTGGTTTCACATTTTGCAATCAAATTTGTTCTCTCTTGAGGCCATTCTGAAATCTGAGTTGGATCTAAATTTTTTCTGGGCCAATCTTGAATTCTAGAATGGCCTAGTCCAAACTTGAAACTGACTTCGAATCATTGACAATTCATCGAGCAGAAAATGTGATTATTTTTACAAGTACTCTGGTTGCTGTCACATCCTCCTGTACCCAAACAAAAGATGGCGTTGATCAAGTCTTAAACATAACATTTGAATGAAGTGTTCTTGAAGATTCCATGTTAAACTGCCTATTGTATATGACCTGTTTTATTAGATACAGCACACAAGTTCACTAAAATATTCTTTACCTATCATTCATCAATAATCTCATGAACAAATGCAAGTTTAGCGCTTTTATTCGGGTACCAGCTTACATCGGATTGACACTCTATAGCTCTCATTCATCATCTCCCCGAATGCTAGTATATTTATAACATAGCTGATCATTTTGTTGAAAATTAGATGTGTAAATGGAAAACTTCATCCTAGTTTGTCCTAGGTGAATCTTAGATTGGCATGGAGATATAGAATATCGTAATATGGACTAGGCAGATCCTACGTTGACCTGAATTTGAGGTAGGTCTATGACATATATTTTTCTAAAGAACAACCATTTCGAATAATAAAACTAATTACAATTCTATACAAGAGTAAAAAAAATGATAAACAACATCTATATATTTATTACACTGAATGTTTTACAAACAATATCATTTGTTTTTCTATTATTCATTTGTAATTCAATGACATTCATATTTATTGATAAATACTTTTATTTTAAAATCAATATTTTTTTCTATTGTTAATTAAACAGATTGAAAACATATTGTTCTCATTTATAGTATATTCACAATATTCAAAAAAAGTAGATCAAGAAACTTTCTGATTAAATCACACACATTCGAGAAACAAAGAACTATTGCATTTTATTTGGTTTCTTTTTTTGTGCACGAAATAAGGCATTGAGCAAAGAAGATTATTTTACAAAATATTCAAAGCACAGAAAGACAAACAAAAAGTGTTAAGTTTCTGATGTATCATCTGATGATGGAATATTCAAAGTATAGAACTGAGGTTGTTTTCAAAATGGCTTAAATCGTTATAGAAGATCAAGATTATTCATACAGTCTCCACTTATTTGTCGAGCTATTACAAAGCGGGCTATAGGTTTTAATGATGATATATACGCAAGACGTGATACTGGATATAAAAGACGAACAAATGTTATTAAATGACTTGTTGAAAAAACAATTGCGAACTATATTTAGTAGAATTTACTAATTCTGATATAAGAGAAGTGGGAAAGTTTTGGCACAAGATATTTGTTCACTTTTGCCGCATTTTCAATAAGTGAAAAACAATGAGTTAATTTGCTCTTCTAATAAGATCTTAAAAATTTTGTCTCCGGTTTTGATTTGAAAATTGAGAAGTAATCTTCTAAAAGCTCAAAACTTTACTTTGAAGGGAAATTGTGGACAGACATTTCTGCCGAATATATTTGTTCATTATCGCCTGCTTGAAAAGATTTCAGATGAATCAAAAGTTGTCGATCACAACCAAAATTTGAATATAGACGTATCAATGATGTGTCTATTTTTGTTGGGGAGGCAAGAGCGACAGACACTGAAACTAAGCAATTGTCGTTCGTTCAAGTTCTAATTCGTCATTCGGATATCAATTCATATTTGCTTCGATTCGAGTAACCATAGATCGGCATAAATTAGGAGTAGGCGATACGTTAGAAGTTCGTTCTGACATAGTTAGCGTGCCATACTACCGTTGATTTTGGTGTCAGCTAATACTGTTTCATCCATTTGAGGATAACAATTGAGTTTTTATTGATAATGCTTAAGTATCATGATTTTCTGTTGGTAATAATAAATAATCCCACAGAGTTGCAGATGATCATTCATCTCAATACAGAAAAATGGAGAAATTTCACAAAAAAGAATAGATAAGCATATATTCTATCAATGTTAGAGGATCATAAGAGTCGTTATAATTGATATTAAGAAAGAAGCAACTATTCTAAGACAATATGACAAGCATAGGAATTTTCGATTTGAAAATATTAAGAAATATCGTAGTACAAATAATATAGAAATGACATAAGAAAAAAACAACACTTTACATCATTATTATAAAAAGTCATAATCAATCCATTATTTATACAGTTAGACTTTAAAAAGTTGTGTTGTCATATGTCAAAAACAGAATATGGTGTATTAAGCACAATATTTCATTTTATATCTTTTCTTTTTTTCAATTCATTTATATTTGTCATTATGTATAACATTACCAAAACAATGCGGATGCTCACATGTATGACCTCCGATTTTTGAATCAAGAATTTTTGCTGGTTGTACAGCTGGAACACATTCATGAACATCCATATAAAAGTATCAATATTTAACTATATACTAGATCTCTATAAACATAAAAGTATGAATCTTTTGTCAGTATTTTATCCATAGAGAGGCTTTGTAGTATTTGAAAACTCTTCAAAATTTTGAACCAGAACAAAGACATTTGTATCAAAATATCAACTAATGTCCATTTCAAAATATAATGTCCGCCACCATTTTTTGAATAACTCGAGAATGCAAACAGCTAAAGACCTGCGGTTTTTGCCAATCGATATATGAGACGGGGGGACGTCTTTTTCGCAGATGTGTAAGACGAAATTCTTTCAAAACTAGTCATCTTCGAAAAACATTGAAAAATGCATGAAAATGACCTGTCATCCAGATGAAATTTTGATTTTGACCTTTGATTTAGATAGAGGAACTTGAGATCTATAGTTCAAGACACAATGCACTTTCTTACTGTTCCTTGCGTTTTCATCGAAATGCCCAGCTATTATGATAAAAATGCAAAAACATAGTAAAAAATCAGTAAAATTCCCTATTATTTGTGCATGTAAATATATGGTTCCAGTTGGTTAACGTTAGAATGCAATAGGAGAAGTATTTGCATTGTATCTTGAACTATAGATCTCAAGCTGGTCTTCGATTATAAATTTTCGAAATTATAGGAATTCCTATATAAGATTTCGTTTTC